CACACACACACACACACACACACACACACACACACACACGACTCGTTTTTAACCCTCAGGCACGACGTTTGAGTTTCATTTACTTGATTAAATCATATTTGCATATGGAAATTGTTTGAAAATGACATTAATTTGTTATATTCAAGGGAGAATTACTTTTTCATATTAAAGCTAAATCAGACAAAAGCTGACAGGTGATGCTGGTGAACTTTGCTCAGTGGGGCCTGTCAGGAAATTTTTTTGTGCCACACACAATCACACACACGTTGTAAAACAATGTACGCTATTCAAAAAAAAACTCCAGTTCTTGCCTCAGAGAAGTGGCTGAATCCAAACTCTCCTCTTCAGCATTTATTCAGAGCTGAGGGTCAGTTCCTTAGCATCATGTCTTTACCTCATGCCTTGTGTCCAGGTGTGTGTGACTGATGGAGCTCTACCAGACGCTACCAAGGGACAGATCTCCTCCTGAGCCAACTTAACTTATCAGGAACTCAAACCAAGAAAAAATACAGGCTAATTAATTAAGAACAGTATTAGAAGTAATGGGATATTATAATATAAATTGCTACATTCTGGAACCAATTTAATCCAATTACTGGAACCCCTCATGAATATAATACCTCCAAAATCACTCCGTCAGAGTCCAAGGGGAGACGTGTCTGAAGAATGAATGAAAAGAAAAAAAAATCAGTCCTTTCAACGGCGAACACCAACAATGATTTAAATGGTTGAGAGAAACTGTTAATTTGAGTAATAAACCTTCTGATGATTTTTTTTAATTGACATCTCGGCCATTTACAACCTGAGTAGGTTTTTGTTTGAGCTCCCTTGTGTTTGATAAAGACGAATGACGTTAAAGACTGATTGGTGCCTTTATGTCCTAATGGCCCTTACCTAATTTAAAAAAAAATGTCTTTAAAGAGACAAAAGCCCACTATTCTACTCCGGTTAAAGTGGAGTGCAATTTGGAGGAGTGGATAAATTGACATTAAGATTGCCAGTAACTAAAAAAAAAAAAAAATAGAGGAATAATTTTATCGTGGATAAATCCACTTTACAGTATGTTGTGAGCCGAGTCAGCCAGAGACAAAAGGATGTTAAAGCTGATGGAAAAAAGTAAAAGAGTAA